TTCCTCATATATAAGGAAGTTTTACTTGAATTCAATTTTCATTAGGGACTGTAATAAGGCAACATATATCATTTGGACTCAAATCTCTTTCACAGTATGGTTTGAACACTGACCATATTTTTTTCTAGTTTGCCTAGTCAAATTGGCACCTTTTGCAGTGACCCCTGATGTCCCTCAAGGATATATTGTGTTTTAAAAAAACAGAGAGGGAGGGCTCTGCGTGCCATCACGGTTGTAGAGCTTTAAAATCTTTTGTTAAGAGAATCCCAAATACTGGATAGAACAGTGATGGGGAACCTTTTATCCACTGAGTGCCCAAACTGCATGGGTGCGCATGCCCAAACTGAAAAGTACGTGCTCATGTGTGGACATGCATGCATGCAGAGACATATGTGCATACGCAGCAGAGACCCGAAGACCAGCTGGCCGGCGGGAGACAGGGCATCCCAACACCAGCAACGTGGCAAGAGGTAAGATATTTTTCTTTTGTGAGCTTGCTTCGTTGTTTGCAGGGAAACACAAGCTCACGAAAGACATGCCACAGAGATCTCACCTGGGGCGACGGTGCACGTGCCAGCAGAGAGGGCTCTGCATGCCACCTCTGGCATAGGTTCGCCATCACGGGACTAGACACCCCCAGTTCATGCAAGTGTTAATTGTATGTTTTCCCCTAATCATCTCTGCTGCTCTTCTCTGCACTCTTTCTGGTGGCGCAGCAGACTAAAGTGCTGTTAAGTAGCACCAGCTGCCTGCAATTATTGCAAGTTCAAATCTCACCAGGCTCAAGGTTGACTCAGCCTTCCATCCTTTTGAGGTAGGTAAAATGAGGACCCGGATTGTGGGGGCAATAAGCTGACTTTGTATAAAGAAAGAACTCCGCTTAGGGGGGGCCGAAAGCCCTACTAAGCAGGTATATACAAAAGTATGAAGGCTATTGCTTAGCGCATTGTAAGCCACCCTGAGTGTCCGGAGAAGGGCGGCATATAAATCAAACCAATAAATGAATAATAAATAAACATCTTTTTTTCCTTTCGTCGTGACCAAAACTGGACATAATATTCCAGGTGTGGTCTTACCAAAGTAGTATAAAAAGTACTACCCTTCACATAATCTTGATACTATCCCTATTTTATTTTGTAGCGTTACTTATTTAAGAGGACGGGTTATATAAGTTATTTAAAGTAAACTAATATGTTGTTTTAAGGCGTACACCACTCTCAGTCATATGTTATGTGGGCGACAATGTAAACTGATTGAATGAAGGAAGGAATTTTGGTTTATCGTAACATCAAATGCACCCATGTAGTGGCATAACACTCCCATTCATGAATGATCCTAGAGCTGATCCACACTTTACAGGAAAGATTATTCTTTTCCGTCAACCATTACAATCACAGGGAATTCAATTTGACAGACCCCAGCCTTGCATTATCACAAGGGTTCCTTGACTACTGCCCAAGACACGAATAGCATCTACAACACAATGCTGAAGGAAACTCAAAATCGAATAAGTCTGCATTTCCCGTCAGCTAAAGAGCCTATTCAAGTGCAAGGAGGAAGAAATAAGTTTCCTCAGTTGAGACAAGGAAAGATTAATATCAATATAGGAGCATATTTTTCCACAAAAATACTTCAGATTGAATGTAAACGACATCAAAGTTCAGAGATGCTCTCAGTCTTTCAGGCTCCTAGATCTGCTGTAAAACTTCTTTTGATATACAAGATTGACCCCCAGGGAACAGAAAAATTCAAGGCTCTGTTTGGCAAAGGTAAAATAAACTAGAAAAGGAAACCAAAACCAGCTTCCCTTCTAACATTATTGTCTGGGCTAAATGCTTCCTGCTGGCCTAGCCAATTTGCTTATAGCTCCATCCTCTGGCTAAACTCAGAGGCAGCCTGGATTCTCTGCTTGACATCTCTTGAGAAGTTCCAGGCTTGCCATATGCCACAGAATCACATCTGATTTCCTCTTAAAAGTAGCCCCAAAGTACATTCATTCCCTCTGTTTGAAGAGAGTTATTTTTACTGTGATAAACCACAACATTACACTGCTCTATTTCAGGGGGAAAAAAAAGAAGATGAGAAATTACGTATATTTTCTCCTCTTTTCAGGATTATTAGTCTTTTATATATTTCACTGTTTTGTGTTAGTTATAAAAGCAACGGAGATGCAATAAAAACCAAATAAATACATTTGTTCTGGTTACCAATCATATGGTATTTTATTATTTTACTTTTTTTTTTTAATTTCTGGTGACTAAATTATCATGATGCCAGAGGACCAGGTTGTTAATTAACAGAAAAAATCAAGCATAGAGTAATATTCAAAGGTGGGAAACATCTGCCTTTCCATCTGGTGCTGATCTAACTCTGTGCATAGCCAATGGTGCAGTAAGCCGAAGCTGTAGTCCAGCAACATCTGGAAAATTCTAGATTTCCCACCCTTGAATTGGTTGTAGCAGTACAGTAGAAAGGTTGCATTTCTGGGCATAACAAAAAATTTAGACTAAGGCAAGGTAGGGAGCGGAAATACATACAAATAGTTGTTTTAGTAAATGTTCAAAGATACAAAGGCACTGAAAAAAAGTGATTTATGACCGTTATTCACACTTATGACCGTCATGATACCTATGGACAGATTATCAAAATTTGGACATTTGGCGTCTGTATGTATTTATGACAGTTGCAGTGTCTGGGGTCATGTAATCATCTTTTGCAACCTTCTGACAAGTGAAGTCAATGAGGAAGCCAGATTCATTTAACAACCCTGTCACAAACCTAACAATTGCAGTGATTCACTTGCAACTATGACAAGAAAGGTCATAAAATGGGAGGAAAACTCAACTCAACTGTCTTGCTTAGCAACAGAAATTTTGGACTCAATTGTCCAAAGTTGTCGTTAAGATGAGGACTACCTGCAATTCCAACAGGATAGATCAGGGGTCCTCAAACTTTTTAAACAGGGGGCCGATTCACAGTCCCTCAAGCTGTTGGGTGGGTGGGGCGCAAACTGGGTGGGTGGGCGTGGCTAGATGGTCATATGACTGGGTGGGCGTGGCCAATTTAACAGTCCAAATTTTTTGCCTTTCTCCTTAAGCTCTGGTTTAAATTGTTTTCAAAGACTTTTAATTTAAAGCAGTACTTTAGAAGCCCAGAGCTGCTTTTCAAGGCTGCACCGGCGAGATCACTCCTCAGCTGGCCCTCAGCTGGCATTCCAGCTGGCTCACTAGAAGATAAGGCCCACAGTGAGAGGCGGGGCTTAATTACACCACTCCACGGGCCGGATACTTTGCACTGGCAGGCCGTATCCGGCCCGCGGGCCACAGTTTAAGGATGCCTGGGATAGATGGTGAAAGGAAGCATAACAGAGCAATTCTTCCCGCTTACTCTGGAGCTACAGACTACTTGACAATGGAGCCCTGCTCTAAAAGACTACAAAACAACGGTTGTAAGACAAAATGTAAAAGGAAACAGAAGTTTTGAAATCAAGGCAGACAGTTTTTCTGAATGCACTCCATATTGGAAGTGCACTACCATCTTGAAATAAATCCAACCAGCAACATTCAATTATTAGAATAGAACAGGATTATTCTCCAGGCGGGCAGGACAAGAAACAATGGTCGGAAACTGATCAGAGAGAGAAGCAACCTGGAATTAAGGAGAAACTTCCCAACAGTGAGGACAATTAACCGGTGGAACAGCTTGCCTCCAGAAATTGTGGGCGCTCCATCACCGGAGGTTTTTAAGAAGAGACTAGACAGTCACTTATCTGAAATAGTATAGGTTCTCCTGCTTGAGCAGGGGGCTGGACTAGAAGACCTCCAAGGTCCCTTCCAGCTCATTCATTCTATTCTATTCTAGGACAGAATGGAGTCTTAGCCATCTCCTTACAAAACATTAACCACAATTAAATACCAAGATATATTTTGAATGATATTTGCTAACAAGGGATTCACCACCTCTTTTGAAACTTCTCTTCTTAATTGCTCAAAAATTATGTGAAGTGCATTCTACTTAATACCAGCTCTGCAACAGAATTCACATGCGAAACTTTAAATCAGGGGCATCCAACCTTGGCCACGTGCTGGCTGGAGAATTCTGGGAGTTGAAGTCCACATGCCTTAAAAGCAGGGGTGAAATGCTACCGGTTCGGGCCGGTTTGCCCGAACTGGTAGGGAAAAATGTAAAAAAAAAAAAGTTCCAACGATCAGCTGAGCAACGTGCGATCGTTTTTTTTTTATTTTTTTAAGCATTTTTTTACTACCGGTAGTTAAAAATGCTTTAAAAAGTTTAAAAAAAAAAAGTTCCTACAATCACACGTCGCTCAGCTGATTGTCAGAACTTTTTTTTTTTTTTTAGGCATTTTCTTACTACTGGTTCGGGCGAATAGGTAGTAAAAAATACTTTAAAAAAGAAAAAAAAAGGCAAGGCTGTGCCTTGCCGTGTGATCGTCGGAGCTTTTTTTTTTTTTTACTTTTTTAAAGCATTTTTTTACTACCTATTTGCTGGAACCGGTAGTAAAATATGCTTTTAAAAGGTTTTAAAAAAGGGTCAGACGATCGCACAGCACAGGTGTGATCGTCGGAGCCCTTTTCTTATTTTTAAAGCCTTTTTTACTACCTATTTGCCCGAACCATTAGTAAAAATGCCTTTAAAAAGTTTTTTAAAAGGTTCCGCGATCACGTGCCACAGCTGATCACCCCTTCACACAGCTGTTCTACTTACCTTCCCAAGTCTCCCTTTGGCGTGCACTGCACATGCGAATGCACAGCTCATGTTTGGCGTGCGCTGCACAGCTAGTGAACCGGTAGTAAACCAGTTCAGATTTCACTACTGCTTAAAAGTGGCCAAGGTTGGACATCCCTGCTTTAACTGGTTTGATTTCAGTGTATCTCACACCATTGGAAATCCAACCATTATTTCTCATTAAGGGCAAACAGATTTCAGACACTTAAATCAAATCCCAGTAATTCAAGCAATATTGAAACAAATCTGTTTACCTCTGCAGGCTGCTTTGAGGCTGGAATGGACAGTGGGGGCTTCTTCAGTTCTTCACATTTTCTCTTTTTACATATCCGGTGGCTAGTTTTGCGTTTCCTACAGCAGCTACACTCTTCACAGTTAGTTTTCCGCAGACAAGGTTCACAAACTCCACAACGCCTTCTTTTTTTCTTTTCCACCACAGGTTGCAAAGAGGCAAGGCACCCACCAATTGGAGGTTCAAAAGATAAGGGCTCGGATGCCACCCCTATGTTGGTGTCACATTTCTTGGGATCCTGGGGACAGTTTGTGATTTTTCCATCTCTCCCCAGCTGCAACAAGGGATCTGATTGCCTTGAAACGGACTTGTTAGATGACAAGACGGTCTCTTTCCCCTCTCCTGCGCCCAAAGTCAACCTTGCATTAGGAGATTGTGGAAAACTTTCGTTAGACACTTCCCTGCTGACTGGGCTAGTGATGTTTCTTTCCAGATTAAAGGGTGCAGAGGTTGGTCCTAAAGTGAATGTTTCTGCAGCAATCCGTTCAAGAGTCCGTTCAAGTTCATCCAAGGTGAAATTACTCAAAGAAATGCTAGAAATCTGTTCACAGACTGATTGTTCATTTGGTTGCTCACAGCTATAGTAGGGAGAAGAATCAAGTGTTTGGTTGCTTGGCACCAGGTCCAGATCCTCTGGTCTAGGGGTGTCTCCTATAAGGTCTGGTTCTTTTAAGCAACCTTCTGAGCCAGAGGCACACTGCAAATACTTTTCTTCTGCAATAGGAGGCTCAGCATCTGGTTTGTTCAGGGGTTCCGGTAGCACAGACGGGTCATCCAGATGCAATTTTGAGATCAGTTCAGAGGTAATCAAAACGGCAGCCTCGGATTCACAGGGATGTAGCACCATCTCATGTCCAGTTTTGGAATGAGATTCCAGAGACGTCTCTGGACTTTTATTATGCAACGCCAGGTCTTGTTCTGAGGAAAGGCTCAACATGGAAAAGGAATGTGAACAGAAATGTTCTGGGGGGACAGGAGGTAAATTCAGGTTACTCTTCGCATACGGTTCTACGGATGTCCCCAATTCATCTTCCTGTACCCTTAAAGTAGTGTCAAAGTCAAGGTGTAATTGGTGGAGAAGAGGCTCAGACAAAATTTCATTTGAGGTATTAGTAAACAAATCTTCCAGGGCCTGCTCACGGGAAACAAAATCTTCGCATCTGTGTCCTTCTTCTAGTATTCCTGAATTACAAGTATCTGTCACACCATTATTAGAAACAGAAATTTTGGAGGGGTGCATTACCCCTCTCTTTTTGGCTTGATTATCATCTACAGAGGACCAGCCTGATTCCTGAGAACATGGGGCCTTATCTCCTTTGGGAGAAGGTAATTCACTATTCAAGTTTAAATCTCGTGCAAAAGCTCTTGTCGTCTGTTCAACTTCTTTCCTTTCTAGTGCAGAGGAAATTCCTGATCTGGCTTTCTGTCTTTTTCTCGGGCCGCTCTTCTTAGCTTTTGTGATTGTCGATGCTTGAAACAGCCGATGGGAAAACGGTTTCCTGCGGAGAGTCATGGAAAACCCACCGTAGCTCAAAGGCGGCTGGTCGTGGAAGAGAACATTATCCGTTAATTCCAGGTTCATCCAAGATGTTCCAGAAAAGGCTTTGGTTACACTGCTCCGGAGAAATCGGCATGGTGAATTTATTGGAGGTTTAGTTCTTTGGGATTTTTTCTTGCCATCGTTCTGGTCTTCTATTAACTTTCTACAGCTTGTAGGACACTCTTTCTTTGAGGACTCTTTCTTGGCATCTTTTATTCCTTGGCAAGATTTCTTTTTAACAGGACTCGGTTTCTTTTTGCTTATCTCCTCTTTTTTAATTAATCGTGAAGATCTGGCATCCCGGGCCATTTCTATCAAACTGTAGATGTGACACTGGAATTAAGAGTTCATGGAGTCTTGCAAATGGTCTTCATTTCAAGAGAAGCCTGCACATTTGTCAGGACATTCTCTGTGTAGTACAGAGCTGAAATAGAAAGAAAGAACAATGAAGTATTGTGAAGAATTTTAGGTTTCACATAAAAGCTTTAGAACATTCATGTCACTTTTTATCATCTCTGTAGCATTAACATCAAATTTGCAAGATGCATCAAAAGCTGCACAGACTGAGAATTAAGAGGAAAAGTGATATAGCTAGCAGCTTGCCTAAGGCATGGGGGGGGCAGGAATGGAGCAAGACACTCCTGTTCATAGTTCAATTTGTTTAGCTCTATGCTATGGAATAATATTATAAATGGCACATGTTTTTTGGCAGCAAAGTCTGGAGGAAGCTGATTTTCCTTCATCTGAAGGTGGCGCTTTATTTATTTTATTTTTTTTGTAATACTGTATATAATGCTTTACTTTTTGAAGCCTTGTATTTCCCCCAAATTTTAAGTATTGCTGGAGAACAAACAAAACAGAAGGTTGATCGGCACCCAATCCACTGAACACCAATATAAGTGGAAATGAAAAGCTTCCTCCCCCACTTTATTCAGTTTAAAGCACTGAATAATGAAACAAACAACATGAAGAGTTGTGACTTCCCCTTTCTCTTAAGATTTTCAAAGCAGTCTTGGCAAGTTTCAGAGATAAGAAATTGGAAGCCCCAAAACATTTTGAAATAGGAAGCACCACTAACTTCTACACCCAACAACTACACACCACATGCTTTGCTTAATGGCATACCCACTATTTATCTTCCCCTATTATGCCAAGAGGGCAATACAGAAGATCTGCAGAATTTACAGAAATGGATATCCAGAAGTAGCTCCTTGCCAAAGGAAATTTTCTGTCTCTTCCCTATCTGTTCCGCTCCTGGGCCCGGGGATAATACACAGTGCTTACTATCTGTTAGTAAATATCCATCTCTGTTTAGTGACCCTTGGCTTGTTCAAAATGTTCATTTCTGACAGATGGCAACAGCTATGGGAAAGAAATTACAAATTAACAATGTCCACCGCATATAAAGAAAATTTAATAATTAAATAATTAAATAAGAGAATGATATAATAAAAATATTGTATTGAGAGAGGGATATTGTAAAAAAGGAAGAAAAGATGAGTAGCAAGAGGAAGAAGAAGTCACTGAAGAAACACCGAGATGACACACGGAATGACTGATGTATGATGTGTTTGCTTGTGTATAAAACAATAAAAAACTTTTTACAAAAAAAAATGATCATTTTCTTGCCAGGTGTGACCAGGACTGGCCTGAACCATTTAAATGCCTAAGGCAAAATATTTGGACTGTAGCTTTCAAGGTCATCAGACTTCTGCTTATCTCCATTTTAAGAACTTGCAGAGCAGAATTTCATTCATTTGCCCAGGACACTGAATCATGTGGATCAGATCTCTTGACTGGGATAGAGAAAACTGGTTGGTTGCCACCTCATCTGACTTTCAGATAAAGATGTCTCTGTGCCTGACTTTGAAAATCCCTTCATCAAGATAAGTTTTTCTTGATGGTACAACCACCAGTGGCTTTGAAGGGAAGGAGTGCAAAATAATGTGCTAAGGGGGGAAAAAAATATATTCGGCAGCAGAGGGGTAAGCAAATTTATGGCCAGTTAAAAAAAAAAAAAACTGGAAGTATTGAGAGCATACCTTGGATACCTTTACAAAATGGTTGCTGGAGATAGCATTGCCTGCTCACAAAATGGCCACCATTATGAATGCAATCAACCACAAATCATCAATTAATCCTAAAGCAAAATATTGCAAAATTTTTCTCCTTGGATACTTTTTAATCCCACTTTTCTCTTTTTTTGAGCAATAAAGTATAGGGTGCAATCGCATTTCCCGCCCCCCTACATTTTAGACTTCCTGTCATGACTATGTGAGGTCATGAAGAATTCTTGAAAATAAATTTGCTGGTCTTTTGCTTTGCAGCTATCATATTGCTACATCATTATTTTGATCCTTTTTTTTTTAAATGTCAGGTTGGGTCCCAGATGTGCAGCTGCCAAGGGGAATCCTTTTGCCTCTCTGTTCTAACCAAGACCACCAAAATACCAAAAGACTCTGTGTTTGAGTCAGTTAGCTCTGCTGTTCACCTCTAGAGTCATTGGATATGAGATGGACAGCAAATAAATTGCCTAAATAAATACATCCAGCGAAAGCTACCATCTTCAACACAGTGCCTATCAGATGGGTGTTTCCTTAACTCCCCTAAATTGGGATACAACAATTTCATATTTCACAAATGAAGGCAAATATACACATACCAGGATAATGTTTCAGGATCCAGTCTGGGTCAGTCAAAGGTTGACAGAGGTTTAGCCTTCCGAGCTTTCAGCTCGTGCTGGAGCCCATCCTCAGGGAACTTCTCTCTAGCAGAGTGTGTTAGCACTTCTCTCTAGCACACAATCTGCTAGAGCAGGGGTCTCCAACCTTGGCAACTTTAAGACTTGTGGACTTCAACTCCCAGAGTTCCTCAGCCAGCTTTGCTTTGGAAGTTGAAGTCCACAAGTCTTAAAGTTGCAAAGGCTGGAGACCCCTATGCTAGAGAGAGAATGGACTCCATTACGTGTCCAAAAACTCTTATGACTAAACCTCTGGTCCCAACCCAGATTGGATCCTGCGATTTTGTATCTAGTAGCCCACAATGATCATCAAACTTCCAATTATTTTATATCTTTTACAGCTGTGAGACTGTGAGTTCTAGTCCTGCCTAAAGTATGAAAACAGGGGAAAATAAGAGGAGGAAAGAATATTTTTTCACAACCCTGAGCTATTTCTAAGAATAATAAAGGCAAAATAAAAAGTCTAAAATAAAAAATAAGTAATATCCAATTAATTCATGAGGCTTTCTCCCAAATATAACTCCCTCTTGCCTGCCTGCCTGCCTGCCTGCCTGCCTGCCTGCCTGCCTATGTATGTATGTATGTATGTATGTATGTATCTATCTATCTATCTATCTATCTATCTATCTATCTATCTATCTAATTTCAATTTTATTCATTCAGGAATTATCTATCCAATTATTTCATGTTTTACACTTTTCAGGCAAAAAGCTGAAAAATGCCTTTCATTTAAACTGTTTACAATATAACAGCAAGTAGAAGAGGGACAACATAGAGGCAATGGAAAAGAAAATTGAGTATTAAAAGACAACACCGTTTTTTTCCTTGTAGGCCTTCAAAAATGCTTAAGGGGAAATGGTTTCTGTGTTGCACTTAGAAAAATTAAACACGGCATGAATAGAAATAAAAATTGGATGCCAAAAGATATAGGCAACCCAAAAATGGGAGAGTTGAGTCTGAGAACAAGATGAAGAAATGATCAGTGTAACTATCACAACTACTCATGGTTTTTCTACTGGCCTGATCAATACCTGAACTGGGAACCATTTAGAGAATACTAAACAACAGCCCTGAAAAAGACAACAAATCTCTTTATCATTGTTCTCAAGAAATATGCATCCACATGCTCAAGGGGCCACCAAGAATCAACTTGACTTGGAGCTTTCAATTTATTTATTTTTTCAAAAATTCTGGAAAGATTTCCTTCGTGCTCAGTCCAGCCAAGACAAGTTGTTTATATATTTCAACACCTTGATGAGGCCTCCGCAAGTACTGTGTGGATTTCAAACTGGCATTAACCTCTGCTGGAAATCTTAAGTGTACATGAAGCCTAATAGATTGGACTACAGCCAGTAAAACCATTTTTGAGGAATCTCTCTGAGCTTGGCTGGGTATCCTGGCAGGGCAAGCTACTGCATATATACAGAGAGCAAAGCCCACCCACCCCACTACTCAGATAGTGGAATGACTGCAAACAAACAATAGGCTGAGAGAGCACCAGGAACTCCACAGTTCAACCCTAAGCTACAGTAGAGGCCAAAATTGTGGAAACCTTTTGGGAAAAGTATATTTTTGAGGTTTGATGGCTAATAACATCACTTTTTTTGGAGTTTCAAGATACTATTCCACTGCTGGAATGGCCTGGGAACAGCCCAGACCTTAACCCAATTGAAAATCTACAGAGCTGACTAAAGAAACTTGTTAGTCAGAAGCGACACAGCAATAAAACCCAGTTAATAGAAGCAATCATTCAATCTTGGTTTCACATTATAACAGCTGTAGAACTAAAGACTTGGTTCACTCCATGGGAAGACGTTGTAAGGCCGTAACTGATGTTAAAGGTTACCCAACTAAGTATTAACTGACATGATGATCATTTTTGTATATCTCGTTTTTTCTACGTGTTTCACTTTATTTCTTTATACTGTAACTGCTATTCTAATAGCAAATCCTTCATAAAAGTTATTGCATTACATTCTTGATTCAATTATCTTTCCATTGATATATAATTTTATGGTATTACTCCCAAAAAAAGTGGTGTTATTAGCTAGTTTTAGAAAATACACTTTTCCCAATTTTGGCCACTACTGTAAATATATCTTCTATTAAAACATTCTTTTCTGGGATATATGACAAATGCACCCTATGTTGTTTCAAGATTCAGGATGATACCCTCATGTTGCTTCCGAAGGGCTTTAGTTCAATCTTCTGTGAAAAGTCACAGAATCCCGCTCTATTGCTTATTAATGCTTTTGATGGAGGGAGATATTTATAACCAGAAGATGACTTTATCTGGATTTGTTCTAACGTTCCATGCACAAGGCAGCAAAGTTGTACAATAAAAATGCTATCTACAAACAGGCATATATTCTGTAAAGATTCTGAGGCAAGTTGCTGTTGCCACTAAATAAGTGTAAATACGCAACACACAAAGGCATTTTCATAAAAGTATGGGTACCTCAGCTACAACTTGCCGCTGATTCTAAAAGTCTCTAAATAGTATTTTAAGTCATGCCTATTCCACCTTTTGTTTGCTTTTGCAGTTTGGCAATTGCACATCAGCATTCTTAGAAATGACTGGCAGATTCTTCGACAAATGTCTGTTACAGGTAGTCCTAGACTTACAACCACAATTGAGCCCAAAATTTCTATTGCTAAGCAAGGCAGTTGTTGAGTTTTGTCCCATTTTACTACCTTTTTGGCCACAGTTAAGTGAATCACTGTTGTTAAGCGAATCATGCAATTGTTAACGAAATCTGACTTTCCCCCATTGACTTTGCTTGTCGGAAGCCGGATGGGAAGTTTACAAATGGTGATCATATGACCCTGGGGATAATGGAACTGTCATACATACATGCCAGATGCCAAGTGGCCGAATTTTTATCATGTGACCATGGGGACACTGCAACAGTCACAAGTATGAAAACTAGTCATCAGTCACTTTTTTCAGTCCTGTTGTAATTTCAAACAGTCACTAAACAAATTGCTGTAAATTGAGGGATACTTGTATTGGAAAAATCCACCCCTCAACCTTCCACAATGGATTTGTTCCACAAGTCTTAAGAAAAACTTCACACGTCTAGACAAATACCAGCACTAACTGTGCCCACTGATAAAAAGGAGACCTTTCGAATTGGCCACTTTATTCAAATATTCAGTCTGAAGGGTAATCTCCAAAAATGCTATTGGCCATGCAGCCAGATGGCCCATTTCAACGTTCCAAGCAGCTGCAGGTCAGAAGCATTCAAAATATTTATGGCATTACTAAATTACAAGTTATTCCGGATTGGACACCTCTCATGTAATCCAGCCAAACAACAGCACATTGCATGCAGGAATGCCGGTGTGCACATTTTCACCACGGTGTAATAACCCTTAATGTTAAAGGAGGCAACAGTTTCTTGAGACTGTAATGCGCAAGAGGGAGCCATACGCTAGAGAAAACTGTGCTCAACCGCTTGTTCCTCTGCACTTTTGCTTGAGTGTGCTGAAAGAGACGTACATCCGTCACTCCTTTTGGGAATCTTTGCTGGCTGATGGAAGATGCCGTTGTGGTAGAATAATTGTGGCAATTAACGAAACACTTGTGCATCACAAGAAATGCACGTTTTGAAAAGTTTTGAAAAAGTTTTGAAAACCACCCCCTTTCGTTGGGTCTCAAAAAGTTAAGCCAACTTTCGGACTTTGAAGTACTCTCCCTCAACACTGCTGGCTGAAGAAATCAGGATGGCACGCGTCAGTCACCGTGCCATGCAGACTTGTATTTCGGCTGGATTCTTCCAAACCGATTCTCCCAAATCAATGGCTTGAAAGCTGCTTTGCCCCCATGCTCAGAGACTCAAGAAAGAGCCCTTTTGCCAGGCTTCAGAAACTTCTCCACTCACTTCCTACCCTTTGCAGGAGTTTAAGGAAGCAAAATTACAGTAAAACCTTACGACTCCGGCAAGCCACATGGTCTGCAAGGGGCAGAGAAGGAAAGAGGGCCAAAGGGGTACGGGGGGGGGGGGGGGGGACAGGTCTCGAGGGAGGCAAGGCTGCCTATCCTTCCAAACTGCTGCCTAGAACGTGGGTGAAGATTCTTCTATCATCAAGGTAGAGTTGACTGGAAGTTGAAGTCATGGCAACTGGGCTTCTTTTTATTTATTTATTTTTTTGGGATGGGTGGGGCTTTGATTGAAGGGTTGGTTTGAAGTAGCTCCTTCAGTCTCAGCAAGTGGGATCTTCTCCTAACCAAGCCTGAAGAAGTTACTTGGGAGAAGCAACAGCAATAAGACATTTTTAAAAAAAAAAGGGGGGGGGAAGCAAAAGAAATCCAGTTGCCTGTGACTCAACTTCCAAACTGCTGCCTAGAATGAGCCCTGCGGTTGAGCAACCGCACAGAGAGAGAGAAAAAGAGAGAGAGAGAGAGAAAGAGAGAGAGAGAGATACAGCCTCCTTCCTCCAGAAAGCAAGTTATCAGCAATTGGGGAGGGGGGGAGGGAGGGGGTGAGAAGACCAATCCAGGCCTCGATTCTCATTTTCAAGCAGATGGCTCCCTGGAGGGAGGGAGGGAGGGACAGGGGGGTCGCTTCTCCAGGATTTAAGTAGCCCAAAAGTGGCCGAGAGTCACGTCCCCGTCCGAGAAGGGGCTGAATAAACAGCCAAGTCAACAAGTTGCATGCCATTTTCCTTCTTGACCATGCAAGACCATCAGCCATAATGGGGAGGGGGGGGTAAAAAAAAACCCCCACTCCATGGACACATGAAGCGATTTCACCCAAATTCCCCCCCCACACACACACACCCTTCCTTTCTCCCCCCCCCACATTTCTCTTTAAAGCAAAGTTTAGAAGACGCCGTTTAACTTTTGTTTTGTTGTCTTTTCCGCCCGCAAAAAAATCGAAAAGCTTAAGAAATTGAGGGGGGGGGGAAAAGAAAAGAGGCGGCGGGGGCTTGCCGAGCCGTCCTTTTAAATCGTCCTCTCTTTTGTATGGAGATTTAAAGCCACTTTTTGCCTGCCCGGCGGGGTTTTTTGTTTCTTTCCCCCACCACCATCCTCCTCGCCCCCCCCCCAAAGACTGGCTTTTAAAAGGCAAATGTGGCAGATTCTTGGATGCCTTTTTTTAAATAAAATACACGAATATTTTACATCGGGGCGTCGTTTTCCCGAAGCCACCAACGTCCCAATTGATCCGCCTTCCCTTTTCCCTTCCCCGATCCATCGGCCGAAAAGGTTTTTTTTTTTTTTTTTGGCAGCGTGGGAGGTTTAGGGCCAACTTTTTTTTTTTTTTCAATTTATACACTTTATTAAAACACATATAAAAACACATTTGCACAACAAACTATTAGGTTAAGACTAAGGGGAATAAGTACAACTGTACTAACTGGAGGACCAACGCGAAACAAACGCTGCCAAAGATTAATTTATTTAGATGTCGTTTGTTGGGTAGGGCCAACTTTTTAAAAGTTGCAAGGAAAGGCGATCCGATTTATGGGGGGCGGGGAGGAAAGGGTCTCTTTTAAGCGCCCCCAAAACTCGCTAGCAAGTTTCACGTGGGAAAAGGGCTTCGGCACCCCCACCTCCTCCTCCTCCTCTTCCTTCTTCCCCGCAGGATCGGCTCCCCCCCCCCGGGGCTCGATCCGCTGATACGTACCAGTTTTGCTGCGTTTTCAGGAAGCGGCTACGAGGCATGGCTTTGCAATCCGCCACCGCAGCAAAGCAAGGGAACTTCTTCCATGGCTCACCCAGCCGACTTGTATTTTTGGGGAGAGGAGAGGAGAGGAGGAGAGGAGAGGGGCGGGGGGAGGAAAAAAAAAAGCCCTCCAAGGTAAAGACAAAACTCACCCACCCACCCCCGACCCCGAGCAAAGGGGGCAAAGAAAACGTGCTCTCTCTCGCCCCGCAGAGTTTGCAACTTCCCCGGCCAGACCCGCTGGGAGGGAGGCTACTCCGGCGCGCGGCGCTGCGCTCTCTCGCTCTCTCTCTCGCTCTCCGGCCGGCCGGAGCCCTGGAGCGGAAAGTAAAACGCGAGCTGGATCCCCAATTTGCGGAGCGGGATTGCTTATTTTCGCCCAGTCCTGTGGGGGTGGGGGGGGGAGGGGGTCAGTCGGTCAGCCAAGCTCAAAGCATGATTATTCCGAAATGGACTAAGCAGCGGATTTCGTCACGGAAAAGTCTGTCCCTTGTGACAGAATCGGGGATGTGTTGTCGGGGTGTGTTAATATTTTTTCAGCCCTCAGACTTGCACCCCACCTGAGCTTGGATTTCTGCCTGTGAATAGAATAGAATAGAATAGAATAGAATAGAATAGAATAGAATAGAATAGAATAGAATAGAATAGAATAGAATAGAAAGAATTCTTTATTGGCCAAGTGTGATTGGACGCACAAGGAATTTCTCTTTGGTGTATTTGCTCTCTGTGTAACTAAGGAAAACAGACTTGCACCCCACCTGAGCTTGGATTTCTGCCTGTGAATAGAATTAGAATAGAATTAGAATAGAATAGAATAGAATAGAATAGAATAGAATAGAATAGAATAGAATAGAATAGAATAGAATTCTTTATTGGCCAAGTGTGATTGGACGCACAAGGAATTTCTCTTTGGTGTATTTGCTCTCTGTGTAACTAAGGAAAATAAAATACATTCACCCACCTGAGCTTAGATTTCTGCCTGTGAATAGAATAGAATAGAATAGAATAGAATAGAATAGAATAGAATAGAATAGAATAGAATAGAATAGAATAGAATAGAATTCTTTATTGGCCAAGTGTGATTGGACGCACAAGGAATTTCTCTTTGGTGTATATGCTCTCAGTGTACCTAAGAAAAATAAAATACATTCACCCACCTGAGCTTGGATTTCTGCCTGTGAATAGAATAGAATAGAATAGAATAGAATAGAATAGAATAGAATAGAATAGAATTCTTTATTGGCCAAGTGTGATTGGACGCCCAAGGAATTTCTCTTTGGTGTATTTGCTCTCAGTGTACCTAAGAAAAATAAAATACATTCACCCATCTGAGCTTGGATTTCTGCCTGTGAATAGAATAGAATAGAATAGAATAGAATAGAATAGAATAGAATAGAATAGAATTCTTTATTGGCCAAGTGTGATTGGACACACAAGGAATTTCTCTTTGGTGTATATGCTCTCAGTGTACATAAGGAGAATAAAATACATTCACCCACCTGAGCTTGGATTTCTGCCTGTGAATAGAATAGAATAGAATAGAATAGAATAGAATAGAATAGAATAGATCGAGAATAGAAAGATACAACACTTAGTGATAGTCAAGGTTACTAATAAGCTATCAAATCATACTAAGAAACAAGTAAAAACAATATAAATTGAAAGATACAAGCAACATATAGTAATAAGTGGGAAGAGATAGATACTAGTAAGGAAGAGAATAATAATAATAGTAATACAGTTTTAGTAAATGATTTGACAGTGTTGTGGGAATTAGTTGTTAAGCAAAGTGATGGCATTCGGGGGAAAAAACTGTCCTTGTGTCTAGTTGTTTTGGTGTGTAGTGCCCTATAGCGTCTTTTTGAGGGTAGAAGTTGAAACAATTTATGTCCAGGATGTGAGGGGTCTGTAGATATGGAAACAAAAATCCTAAGGAAAAAGATTAATTTAATTTTGATTAAGGGTATGGTTGGTCTCTACCTTTTTGCACCCTGACCAATTCCAAGAGGCATTTGAATGATCTGTATAATGGACATTTGGTACACTCTAGTGTTCTTCATAAAAGAAACCGTTGGCTCAGTGTAACTGAATAGTATCTTAAGCTGCAAAAACATAGATTTTAATCGTTTAGAAACACTGATTTAGAATAGTATTCCAAGAAATTCCCCAAGGAATTTCCCAAGAAATTCCGCAAGGAAAAGGAGATGCTAAAACATAACTGATAATAATCCCAACAAAGGAAAAAAAATGGAATGTAGCAGCAGAAGCTTTCTGACTACATAAAACCTCATTAAATTTTAAGGACACTCAACTTTAGATAGGATTGGACACATAGCAGGATGATGGAAAATGGAACTAGTCCTATTTTCTCCTTGACGGGATCATCAGTTGCATTACAAGTAGAGTTCTACCTAACTTTTTTACTGAGGCATATACTACAGTTCCTTCTCCTCTTCCTCCTCTTCTTCCTTTTCTCCACAATCCTGGAGGTAGGAAGAGCTAAGACTGCTGAAGAAGATTCCTCTTATATATTAGGCTGGTTTCTATTTTCTTTTAGATTTGTTTATCCTGCCTTTATTATTTTTATAAATAACTCCAAGCAGCGCTCATACCTAATATTCCTTCCTACTCCTACTTCTCCCACATTAACCAAACCTACAAGGTGGGTTGGGCTGAGAGAAAGTGATTGGCCCAAAGTTATCCAGCTGAAGGTAGGACTAGAACTCCGTCTCCTGATTTCTAGCCTGGTGCCTTAACCATTAGATCCAACTATGTTATTGGCTTTCCTGAAGCTTTCAACAATAGAATTGTTTCAGAGAGTCTATAGAGGTACTGTATATATTATTTTACATTTTAAAAAATTCGTATTATGGACTTTTAATGCACAGTGGTACCTTGGTACTCAACTGCTTTGAAACTCATTGAATTTGATACTTGACACATTTTGATATGAAAATTTTGTCTCAGTACTCGTTTGTTTGGTACTCAATACACGAGCTAGAACTTGTTGGTATCGGCTGCCTTGTGACTTACTACATTATTCCTTAGGGGAATTGTTTTATATTTATAATTGGTACTAATTACACCTCCTGGAACCAATTAACTATGAGTACCGAGATACCACTGTAGTTTGCTGCAATTTTACTATGCTATTATTGGCATATGGCTATTGTAAACTACAAGGTTAACAATAAATCACTGCTGACTGCAGTGCAGAATAAATCATTTATTCTGAAAAATGGATATGTATTCACTAAGAATTCTAAAGAATTCCGTCGCGCGCTCAAGACTTTCCTATTTCATCAAGCTGGCATGACCTAAGTCTTTCCCCTTTTTAAATGGAAATTTTAAATTTGGTTTTAAATTATTGGGGTTTTAAATTCGTTCAGCCAAATTATTTAATTCGTTTTAGTTTATTTTAAATTTTGTATCTATATGTTTTATTCTATGACTGTTCACCGCCCTGAGTCCTTCGGGAGTAGGGCGGTATACAAATTCAATAAAATAAAAATAAATAAAATAAATAAAGTAGAAAAAAGAAGCAGGAATGAACTCTGACATGGGTACAGACATGGTGACCAGTGGTGGGTTGCTCCCAGTTCTGTCCAGTTCTATAGAACCGGTAGTAAAATTGGCGGGAGGCTCCGCCCACCTGCCCAGACATCATAAATGACAATCTGCACATGTGCAGAAGTTTCTGCTCATGCGCAGCACACACACGCGAGCGAAGCAAGCACGGCCTTGTTGCGAACCAGTAGTAAAGGTAAGTAGAACCCACCCCTGATGGTGACTATTCCCTTTAATGAATTTCATTCTGCAGGACCTAATAATTCTAAGCATCTGGAAGTCTCGCTAAACATTTATGTCAATGCTTCTCAACCTTAGCAACGTTAAGGTTTGTGGACTTCAACTCCCAAAGTTCTGAGAGTTGAAGTGCGCACATCTTTAATTTGCCAAGGTTGAGACACACTGATTTACATGACATCCTGGGGAATAAATGAAATGCCAGATAAGAGGGTACATGCAACAGCGTCCACAAGAATGTTTTAAATCAATAAGGTGGTTTCTTCCATTTTTTACCTTTCTCTTAATATGCTAATGAACACATACCCCTATTTTCAACAAATCTTAAGAGGGGAACTCTTAAGGCACAGATGTCAAACTCCTGGCGTTCCATTGCCGTCATGTGACTTTTCGTGACTTTTCCCCCTTCGCAGGGATGAGGTCAGCGTGGCCTGCATGTGATACATCCAGCCCGTGGGCCGCCATTTTGACACCCCCCTGGGAAAGGTTAGCCTAAGACAGTAGTTGGGTAGATTCGAATCTAGAACAAATTGTTATGTCACTGATTTATAAATACTTTTGAAATCAGTGTGTTTAGTTATCAAATTAACAAATTATCTTAATTAGTCAAGAATAAGTCTTGCCAGACCAACTGTAGTACATTTTTATAGGGTAACTTCCATTGCACCTCAAGATGTTCTGATTAGCAAGCCAGTATGATATGGGTGTAGTATCATAATAATTAAATAACCACTTAAGTATCTTAGGCATTATAGTAATTATGTTCATTAGTCCTTCATTATCAGTCTGGAGAGATTCAGTCATTCATTATCATACTGAAAAAATATCAAGTAGATTGCCACAAGTTTCTGGCTAGAACTTTGTTATATTCAGATATAAAGAGAATCATTGCACCTGGATTATGTTTAAATCAAGAATAGTGTTTGTCACTGAGAAGACAATATCATAAGTAGGCTAGGAAAAAGACTAGAACCTGCAGGGCTGCGTGTGCCTTGATCAAATTATGCCTTAAGCGATGAATATTCTTCAGTAGCTTTTTCATTTGGAAAAGGAAATTAGTTGCTTATATTCAGCACATCTTGGATAAGGAAGGAAAATACTAGTAACAAAATAATACTCACACAAGCCCAAACAAAACTAGTCACAGTTTGAAAAGAACAATTTTTTTGGTGGGGGGGGGGGGGCAAAATGGGGCGCCTTTCACAATATTATTACTTAGAATCAAATCTACTTTGGAGAAAATGGCTTTACAGGATAAAAAACATACCGGTAGCTTGATT